CTAACTGGACAAGTTAATTGTTGAATGTACACCTTTAAATAACATGTCATGGTATATGGTGTTCATTAGTTTCTAAAAGTTTTATTTTAATTTTCTTAAGACATTTTTACTATGGAATTATCCTACCATAGTCATTTATATGTTACTAATATCTATGACATGAATTAGTGTAAATCTGGAAATTAAGATGTGGTTGGATTACTTACTGAGTCGTCGTACTCATCCCATTAATTGTTACCTTTTTCAGAATAAAGTCGAGAGTAGATTGTGAATATCTGAAGGTCAATCTTTTGGAAGCAAAAATTTTGTTAGGCAATGTGAGAGCGCAAGTACTTATTTATTGACTGGTGTTAATATTAAGTATTGGTAAGTGTACATATACGGTTGTACGTGAATAGAAACTCTGAATGTATTTTGGGTTGTAGGCATGTCCAATATTTACTAGATAGACTATGTGTAAAATATTAAAATAATAGTATCTTTATGAGTTACGGAACGAAGATTTGAGTAATTTTATTATGCATATGTTAATTGAGAGAATTTAAATATTGGTATGTTGCCATAAAATTAATCATTGGAAACTTATGATTGACTACACTGTGTCGCGTAACCTCAATGTTTTAAACCATAATTAAATCTTAAGGGCGTGATAAAACCTGTTAACCACTGAAGAAGTTTTGTGCAATATATTTGTTGATATCTAGTTTCAAGCCGTTTCTTTAGACTAGTAATGAGGGCACGTGCATTGCACGTGCCCGCTACATAAAGTTTTTGTACACCAGAATTTTTATTTGCTCCCTAGATTCCCTCATAAATAGTGTTAACTGTAATTTTCACATGAATGCGTAAACTTATGTGTGGGTTATTTTTGCTAGTAAAAATTATAACTCACAAAGAATTTTGAAAATCTTAAAGTGAAAGGAGGTTTTATGATTACCCTTAAAGCTAAGGATAGTTGCACAAAACAATTTAAATAAGTATATATGACAAGAGAATATAGAGATGTGATTATGGAGAAAAATATAGACAAAGATACAAAATATATGCAAAAAAAAAAATCTCAATCGGCATAGGCTTGCTTATAAGAACAAATTTGGATTTAGATCTAAATCTCATTTAAAGTTTGCCTAAGAATTACACATCAACAAGTTCCGCCACTGTATAAGATTAAGGCACACAAAGACCTAATTATAATTAGTTTAGTATACAATAGTTCTTATTAACACAATTTTTTTAGGTAAACTTCTTATCAACACAATTACAATTATAATCTTATCTATCTCTCTCAATTGTGCATTTTTATGACCTTTGCACAGGTGCAAATTATCCGTGTCAATTTTATCTCATTTTATTCTCGATAATTGCAACATCTAATCCACAAAGACATTCATGCATTTCTTATCATAATTGCAACATCTAATCAACAAGTTCATCCCTGGCTAGTTCAAGTGAACATTCGCTGAGGGGTGTATTGGTCACCAAAGAAACAAATTGCAATGCCCCTTAAGATTTGGGATCCGGATCCTCTCCTAATGAAAAGCTCCTAATATCTCCTAATAAGGAGATCTTACCCTTCCATTTTCATCATGGCTTTTCATTTTCTCACTCATCCTTGTGGGCCCCCCTTCACAACTCTTCACAATTCTTCATGCGGAAATATTAGGATGATGAGAGGATCCCAATTCTAAGAGGATGATGAGAGGATCCCAATTCTAAGATTTGAGGGACTACTGAACAATGTCAAGAATTTGTGAAGTTATTTTGAAGATTGAGGGACAAATGTCTAAACACCCCTTAGGGGCTGTTTGGTTGTTGTTGGTAAAGTTGTGTATTTATGACACAACTTGGAAAGTTGTTGTCCACCTCATCAATTTCACTTTTATATTTTTCTTTGTTTTTGGAAAGTTGTTGTCCACCTCATCAATTTCACTTTTATATTTTTCTTTGTTTGTTTTTTATTCCATTGAAATCATAAATTGCTTGTTTGGTTTGCAAATATAACTTTAATTGTTTGTTTGGAAAGTATAAAAAGTAGTCCCTACTAAAATAATCATATTGGTTAGAATTATTTTTTATTACTATTTCCTGACTTTAATGTCAGCTTTCTCCTAAAATCATGTCTTTTTTTTATAAAATCTTTACAAGCCACATCAGCATATGAAAGCACTTTACACTATTTTCACAACTACAAACAAACAATTGAAAGTGATGAAAGCTGACATTAGGACCCATTTTTTTACACTTTCCATCATTTTACATGGTAAAAACATACAACCAAACATCCCCTTATTATATTCGTACTACCTAACAATGTTCTGAACTGTTGAATTGCTATTGGCCCATGAGAAATCCGTGAGTCTTACTTCTCCCATGAAGCGTGAGGAGATAGTCTGACTGTTGAATTGCTATTGGCCCTTTTGTTGGGCTCAGCAGGTGAGCTATCACGTGAGCAGACAGTCCAAATTAAGTTCCTAAATTTCATGGGTAGCATTGCATTTAGATAAAAGCAGCAAGGGCAAACTTGTCCAATGAAATTTACGCAAACTTTCAGCTACAAGGGCTTTTTTATATGGTTAATGAAATGAAATGAAACGAAACGAAACGCTGGTGTGTTTGGTAATCAATGTGATTTTATTGTTGTGTTTTTGTAAAAAATCATTATGTGATGGTGTTTTTTTTAAATATGTTTTGAAAACATCGTTTATAGTTATTATTTATATAGCGACGACGGACGATGAGCCGGCGACGGCGCCGGGCAGGGGCGCGGGCTGGCGACTGACAGAGTGGCGTGGCCCGCGGCCGCGGCGCCGCCGGCGTGGTTGGTTGGCGGGCCGCTGCGGGCGGCGGCTTAGATGAAAAAACGAAATCTCAAAACACATTTTTGATGTTTTGAGAAAAATGTTTATTTTTTGAATTTTGAAAATGGTCAAGTCAAAAAAACGCTCCAGTTGCCAAACGCGTTTTATTATTTTTTTGAAAAAAATAGAAATGACAAAAACGCCACGGTTGCGAAAAGCTCCCTAGAATCTAAAATTTACTAGAGGTTAATAATCTAATTAATTTACAAAGACGAGAATACATATAAACTAGAAATTTACATGGGGTTGTTTGCTTCTATGCAGCCACAGATTGCACGTCACAAATCCAAATAAACGGTTTTGAACAAACAAAATATTTTAAAATATTCATTAAATTATTTGTAATGAAAGAAGGGGAGCTATTCTTTGATAATTAAACGATATAAATGGAATAGGAAAATAATGTTCCTAAGTAATTATACGAATGTTTGTTACCAAGTTGAAACATTCTAAAAGACTTTGTTGCCACTTGGAATCCATGTTAATGAAAATTTTCAACGATGTTTGGACAATTGATATCCAAGCTCATGAAAAATTTCTCTTAGTTTGTTAATCTTGTTGAGGTTATTAATTCGTCAGTATATTCATACATCAAATAGGATAAAAAAGAATTAAGGTTTAAAATTAGAGTTAGGGTCAATAACTAATAGCTATAAACTTTGTGTTAAAATTAATTTTCTAACCTCTAATTAAAATCCATAACTCTAGATTCAGCTCGATTTAAACTCTAACAATACCATTAAAGCTAAGGTTGGTCCCAGTACTTCACAAAAGGAAGAAAAAAACAATGTGAAGCCCCAAAGTCCACGGTTTTTGCTCGGTTGAGAATGAGGTTTTTGATTTATAGGACATTGTAAATATTAAACAATTGACAGTGTAAAATAATAATATTATTATAATAATTGAAAATAGCAAGTTGGTCGACACAAGTGATCGCCTACTTGTAGTATCATATTGGGTGAGCCATTTGGAGAGGGAACTTGAGGATGAATGAAAAATAATCTTCCATAGATTTGGTGCTCTGCAATATAGTTTACACGTGATATTTTTTTTATTTCCATTTGATACTTTAGTTCTCGTCTCTTTGTAGTGCAGGACTTGATGTTACTTCTTCCAACAATTGAAATTATTATTTAGTGTTTAGTGAAATAACAAGATGGGTTCAGTTTTTTCTTCAAAAAGCATTTAATTTTTTTTAGCTTAAAAAAGGCCATATTTTCTACCGTGGGAAGCAATTATATCCAATCTATTATATAATCAGTGGTTTATTACATTTGTCACTATGAATTAGTTCAGTATTCTTCCATAGAGTGAACGGTACTCCTCCACTACGTAGTCTATACGGTACTCCTCTTCACTATAAGTCTATAATAGTATATACAGTCTCCTCTTCACTATATAATATATAATATACACGGTCGTGTGGCGTAATTCAGCCAGTCTACGTACAAGTCATAATATGTGGCGTATCAAAATGGGCTATTACAACTGTGACTTATATTGGGCCAAAGCTGTTGACAGATTTTAAGAGCCTAATTCAGTCATGGGCGCCATTTCATAAAGCTATGGGCTGCTTTGTTTCAGGTTGCCCTAGTTCAATTTGAAGCCCAAAGAAAATCCTTCCTTTGCTTACCTATTCTGAAAAGAGAAGAAAAGGAAAAAAAAAACAGAGAAAGAAAAAGCGAAAAAAAAAAATCCTTTTTTCGTGATGTGCTTGTTGTTTTCTTTCAAACATAAATTACTCCAACGTTTGGGATTATATGGTAACACTTCACATCTATTCTAAGATCAACGTCAGCGATTTTCTTCTATAGAAGTTTGCTGTTCGGATGCAACAGCAAGACTCCTCCCATATCCATCCCTATCCACTAGGAGTGCACTCTCACGCTCCGCTATTTCAACAAGAAAAGGAAGACCATCTGTACATTAACCCATCAACTAAGCATAATTTACATATTCTGCCACCATAAACATTTGCTAAATGTCTATCACGATGGCAAAACTGCAACTATCTTATATACTAAATGCATTTTTGTAATTAAATTATTTTATTTAGACTAACAGGTGGTGTGGGGCGCTCCTTCTAGAAGAAGCCGAGGGCTGGATAGAGAGAAACTATAAATACACGAGTAGAGGGTCCGAACTGAGAGAACTCTGACCCTTAACTCCCTCTTCCAATCTTTTTTTCCTCCCTTTTTCTTCTCTTTTCAAAACCTAGGGTTTCTTTTCCTCGCAAGTTGAAGATCGTGATTGGAGTTTGGAGCTTTGGCTTCTAGTTCAAGAATGTCGTACAAGGCGAAGAAGCTCATCAACGATCCCAATGGTTTGATTTCTCTCTGTTCGATACTCGATTGTTTCGTCGATGTTTTGTATTTTCTTTCAATTAGACGATCGCTTAGTTTCTTGTTCATTTGATTGATTAAATCGCAAATGTGGATTCTGTTGCGTTCTTGAAAAATTGAGTATCGGTATTATGAAGTGTTCATCCCTAAAATTTGGCGGATGGATTCTGTTGCGTTCTTGAAAAATTGAGTATCGGTATTATGAAGTGTTCATCCCTAAAATTTGGCGGATTCTTGCGATTACTGTTTTTTATTGTTGAGTATCGGTATTATGAAGTGTTCATCCCTAAAATTTGGCGGATTCTTGCGATTACTGTTTTTTATTGTGTTCTTGAGTTTGCATGCGGTTCGAGATGTAATCGTTCAGTGAAATGGTTTAGGAGTTGGTTACAATTAGTTGAATTAATGCGATCGAGCTAGTATTTAGATCTACTTCTGATCTTTTTAGAATTTGGTTACAGTTTGTTAAGTTTTACTGGAGATTTCTTTTTGAGATGGTCGGTGGAGTCATCATAGCTTGGGTTGACTTTCAACATGTATGTGGATCTCATTTTTTTTTAAATTGATCAGATTAATAATTAATGGCTGAAAATGCTCCAGAAATTGTAGCATCACAAAAATTTAGGTGCTGTCTTTCTGAGAAGATTTTGCTTAATTAGATGCTCTTCTTGAAGATTTTAGTATCATAATGCGAATTGTTCATCCCTAATTTTTTTCGCAGATTTTTTGTGTTTCTGTATTGATATTGTGTTTAGGTTTGCATGCGGTTCAAGGTGTAAAAGTTTACTGAATTTTTTTTAGAATTTCCTTACATTAGTTGAATTAGTTGAATGTCATGGTGTCTGTAGATCTCATGTTTTAAACTTGATCAGATCAGTAATTAGTAGCTGAAAATGATCCTGAAATTTTGTAACATTGTGAGAATTAGAGGTTCTTTACCTGAGAAGATCTTGATTATTTAGGTTCTGATATTGCATGCAGCTTCAGTTTACTTAAATTGTTTTCCTTTTCATTGTTGTTCTTTGTTTTGGA